TTCAGCAGGGAGCTGCGTCGGGCACGCTTCTTGTGAGCCCCTCCTTGTACATCCAGCATGTTCGAGTTCGTGCTGCCCTGGCTCAGAGATCTAGGGGGGAAAAAAAGAAAAAAAGAGCAAAGCAGTAAATTATTAGTTCTCAACAGCAACGAGGAGCTACAGTAGCACACGCTAAGGCAGATTAATATCAGTAATCTTCAGTTAGGGCTAGTGCATGCCGATGCAAATGAGTTAAAAAGATGAACAGCATTAAAACAACACTTGTCTTAAAATATTCTGGTAAATTGATAGCAGCAATTTGAGGCTAGAAAAGGACTGCGTATGAAAAGTGTGGAACTAGCAAGAATGAGGCGCAATGCTGCGTAAAGTACCCACTGCGCTCTGCTCATCAATCACCGTCCTGTTCTGCAAACCCCGCGCCGTTTCAGCTGCGGATTGTCCGAGGGGACAAACCTGACAACTTTGTCCGTTCCAGGCACTGGGTACCCACTGTTTGCACCAGGCTTGCAACAGAAACTTCTTACTCAGCACAGAAGTGAGTGACCAGTGTAATTCTCTCACAAAACTGAGCTCCTGACAATGTTTAAATAAGGTGAAAAATCATGTTCAATACGCAAAGTACATTATATTACGCACTTCGCTTCTTTCTCCAATTAAGTAAAAGCATTCATAGAAGAGCAGCTCATTAAAAAAATGCATCACAAAGGTTGGGAAGGCAGCGATAATATACATATGCCCAGACTTGTATGGACTTGCATCTATGAAAGACGACGCTCCTCAATGCGCCTAATTTTCAGCTGCCAACTCTGTCAGCAACTGAAGCAAAAATAAATCATCCCCAAACGGCTCAGGTACATCAGCTCCTCTCCCCGGCAGTCACTCCTGCTCACGCTGAATCCGTGACCAAACAACTGATCCTGGCATAGTTCAAGCACACACATCATCTGCTTCAGCTGCCAGCAGTCCTGTGGCCTCACCCGCCCTCATCTGCTGCTTCATAAAGGGAGACCATGAGGAGCTACTGGAGAGAGTCCAGCGGAGGGCTACGAGGATGAGGAGAGGACTGGAGCATCTCTCCTACGAGGAGAGGCTGAGGGAACTGGGCTTGTTCAGCCTGGAGAAGAGAAGGCTGACAGGGGACCTTAGAAATGCCAATAAATATCTGCAGGGTGGGTGTCAGGAGGACGGGGCCAGACTCTTTCCAGTGGTGCCCAGCGACGGGACAAGGGGCAACGGGCACAAACTGAAGCCGAGGAAGTTCCAGCTGAACATGAGGAAGCACTTCTTCCCTCTGAGGGTGACGGAGCCCTGGCCCAGGCTGCCCA